TTCTCATTAGCGGAGTCGAAATTTAAGAAAAAATCGAACTTCCAACAAAAATATTGGTAATTGTTTGTCCTAGACAATAAATACACCTAAATAACAAAATCTAGAACAGAATTAAGCAAACCTAATTTATCCAGGTAAGCCAATCCATGGATATTACATCCACGTTCTTGGAAAATGGGCGTTCGCCGGCGAAATGACAGATCTTGGTGGTGCTTGTTTCCTCGATATTCATCGACATAGCATCCGCTACCTGCACGAATAGAAGTGTTGGGAGATTTTGAGCAGAAGAGCAAAACTCAACGAAACCCCATTTGATTACTTCAATCATCTTGAACCAAAATTCCAAGAATCCAAAAATACAAGGCAATGAAATCCATCCCGGGACAATTTTTGTGTTACCATATCTGGAGTCAATTGAGGGATCGCTTGAGTGCGGCTATACGGAATTATGTGGATGAGAGAGAGACACAAAACCGTTGAAGAATGGAGAAGCTGCCAGCTGCATCAATGTCGGAAAGAAACGCGACGATGAAACAACACCTAATCAAAGCATCAAAATAGGCAAAGTGTTAAAGTGCCTTTCGAAGTACCATTTATATAAATATTAGCATTTTTTTTTTCATGAACAAACATCTAACGATTTAAAAAAAAAAAAAAACCTCTTTCCTCTGAATTATTTTTTAATTTGAAAAAACTTCCGCCCTTTGTGTCATGTGTCTCCTTTTTCAAAACCCTCCCTTTCTTTACCGCCTGCAAATTGTTCCTCAAATTGAGGGAGAGGAAAAACTACGTGAAATTCAGCTAGAAACGCATTAAAAAAAATTGACAACCTACCAACTAACACTGTGGTATCGCCATCCGTGGAACCTGCGGGAAGAATTTGTATTTCTAGCACAGGAGCACATAATGAATCCATTGAAATTTTGATGATAATTAACGCACAACCTGAACAAGAAATATTTTACTGAAAAAAAAAAAAAAAAGAATAAAACTATTTCGCTTATCAGAAAAGCTGCGAAACTGTAACTTTGCAAGGATATTCTATATTCACGTGTGGTCTTA